ACAGATCTTTATATAACTTGCAATTATAAGTCATAAGAAATGAGTGTCTTAAAAGGAATTCAATATATTTCGATTAAAGAATCTTTCCACCGTTAGAGTCTGGTTTACTGTCCTTTGAATAAGAACTACTGATAAATGACAACTCTTTGTCTAAAGATGCATGTAGCAGAAGTAATTTTAACACCACAAATTTTAAAGTCAGAGAGCTCATGTTTCCAGCACAATTCACCCGGGTCCTATTTAGCGCGGAAGGTCATGCAGTTACACTTATCAAATTGTCATTGGGGAACTGAGAAAGAGCTTTAAAGAATCCCATTGGTATTCTCTGCTATAACAGTAGTAGTCTGGGTGACACCAAAGAAAGAAAGACCTGTAAATTAAATGAAATCACACTTGAAAGGCTCAGTGGTGGTTGATGATGAATATTATGAAGAGATTCGGTAACCTGAGAAGATGAAAAAACGCCATTCATCTCGACGTAAATGAAGGCACTGCTAGGCCCAAAAAGAAATTATTTAATTTAGAGAAAAATGCATACCACCTTGGTAGCTTATACTGGAGTATAAAACCAAACCAAAACGTGTGGGTATGTTGATTACATGCGTTAGAGATGGATATGATTCGTTTAAAACATCCCGCTTTAATGAACCTTGAATGAAGTGGATTAAACCCCGTTCCTTGAAAAAAAAGGAACTATGTTACATCCCGAAGATCACAAAAAGATATGAATGACCCAGAATGCAATATGTTCCATATGAAACAAAACAAAACAAAACAAAACAAAGCCCCCCCCCCCAAAAAAAAAGCATAAAAAAGTTACACAAATAATCACAAGTAGTTAATTTTTTTTCCACGAATGGCATAACATTCAAGTAGTACTTACTTTAGTGTTGCATAACGGCAACAACAATAACGAAAAAAAATCCATGAGCGAGCACACTGTCATAACACATTATATCTATGAAATGTGTGACACATGCCCCCTCTGGCAAACCCGTTATCTGCATGTGCGTGCCAAGGACTGCCACTTTTACGGCTGTCGCGTCGTGTAATAAGAAAATAAACAAAACAAAATATAAATCGGTCCGCAACTTGCTTTTTGACCTTTACGTCTGTTTCGAAATTGACGCCAATTACCATTCCTCACATATAGACAAAGAAAGCGTCTGTCTGGATATTTTCTTCTACCTAACATTTTTAATCAGCCCGAGTGCGATGCGTTTTTTATAAACAAGGTAATAGAAAATGTCAAGTGGGCAGCTTAACCGAGATAAGATATATGTGCAAAGGACTGGCAGGTTGATACAAGTTTTCAATATTTATGCTGATATGTGGCTCATATCAAACCACCTTTTTACGTCAAGAGAAAACCAAAACATGTAGTGGCATTTCATTGAATCATGGTGGATAACTTTGGAGTAATCAAAATTCTAAGTTTGTTGTGTTTTTTTTTCACCCAGTTTGCGTCTTTTACAAAATTTGCATTTCGTGGCAAACATTTTGTTTGATATTTGAACTGTTTTGTGTAACTTGTAACTGCGTTATTTATATATATGCGGTGTATATTCTGTACAATATATATCCGCAAGTAGCAACATGAGTATTAGATGTCAATTCTGTTTACAATAAGCGTGCACCTACCTTCCTCGCCTCTAGTAACTATATGTTTGGCCAAATTACAGTCTACACTGTACAGGTGTTAATTTCAGTGCGCGTGCGTGCTTGTAATGAGGTTCAATTGGTGGTATTATAGACAAAGCGAAAATATCTCTTTCGATTAAGTTGACTTATGTCAACTGCACACCTTTGGTATACGTACGGTATCATTACAGGTGGCACATCTAAAGGTATACAATTTCATGATAATTTCAGATGCCCATAATACATGTACCTCATGCTTGCCTCTCTCCATCGAAAAACAAATGAAAAATAAATAAGAACATGGCGAAGAATATTTGATTCTACAAAGAACACCTTGGTGACAATAAATGCCTCTACTGTGTTGAAGGATGACACATTTTGAGTTGTTGAAAATAGGCAAGTGCACTTCATGGTCAATAGACCATGTAATATTTGAGCGATTGATGTGACGCACGTTTAAAACACAATGTTAACCAACTCTGGGCTGTGTGTCATATTTGTGTGTGTGTGTGTGTGTGTGTGTGTGTGTGTGTGCAGTTTACATATTTCTAATAAGCTAGCGAAACATATAGCAGGGTAGTGCACATGATGCAACAGAGTTCACTTCAAATAAGATGCGGCGTAAATAAGGATACTGGTATATTTCCTCCCAACTCCAAACTGCTATATTATGTATAATACAGGGTTCGTTTTCAAATGTGTTTTTATCCAGTTATATTTGCGGTTACGTATTTACTGTTGTGTATTGATATTTCATTCCATTCATTTATTCTTTATCTAGACTGTCACAACCCCAACAGACTCTGAAGCACCTGATATTGAAGAGAAAAACACGCACACAGGTGAGTATTCAGTTTTTCTGAGGGTTAATACATGAAAAACTTGGTGCAAAAGAAAACAAAGGGTGGGCTTCAGGCTGTAGGAAAGCGAGAGCACCCAGGTCGCATGTTATTTAGGTTATAGCCATTCTGCCTTAAATTTTTCTTCGCGAAATGTGAAGCACACAATAAGTGTGTCGTTGCTGGATATGCTCCAAGTGAATTCAAAGAAGAAATAAAGAAAAAAACAGATTTTTATAATGCTGATATACTTAAAATAATACTTAATTTCGCAATTCTAGATGACGATGATGTTCCACACCTAAAAAGACAGAAGAAGAATAACCTGAAGGTTGACTTCAAGGTCGACTATGAAGGCAACATCTTCTTAGATGTGAAAGATGTATTCTGTGAGCTTGCGGAATTAATGTCCAAGAAAGGCGCAGAAGATAAAGAGTGGATTGAAACCGCCAGGTACTAGTATATGGCATCAGCTACAACTCTTTACAGTTTTTGGTCAAGTAGGGCTTTTGATTGTGAAGGAACTTAAATGAAACCAAGACTTAACAGCAGTTTCGTTCTCCGTCCGTTTGACCTTTGACGTCATTGGTGTAAAAGTATACAGATGATCTCCCTCCTTATCTCTCTCTCTTTCTCTCTCTGTCTCTCTCTCTCTCTCTCTCTCTCTTTTAAAAACAATATACGGTAGGTATGAATCTTTTTTGTCATATGGATGGGCTTGATAATTTTCTATAACCACATTGTGATTTTAGGAAGATTTATTAGACATTTTATGAAAGGACTTTTACATTATATAAATGTACTACGTGGTCGTCCTTGCTTTTGTTATCGTATCTCATACATGTATAACCGTTATTTCAAATGATCTAAACATGAGAAATCCCTCTCTCTGTTTCTGCACACACACACACACACACACACACACACACACACCATTACCATATATATATATATATGCCCTTTTTCCTCATTTCTAAACCTAGGTGGGTCAAATTTGAAGAGGATGTAGAGCTAGACGGTGGAAAGTGGTCCAAACCCCGCGTGGCCACGCTTCAGATGAACCAACTTCGCACATTCCGTGATTTGCTGGCCGAAGGAGCATATCTCCAGGATCTGGACGGCAACACATTCCCTGAGGTTGTCGGTAAGAATAAAACCAACTGTTAAGTCTAAGAACCCGTAAACAAAACGTACACACAATGTTTGAATATGAATATGGGATGATCAAATTTGCCATTCAAAGTTAGTTATTATAAATATCACCTTACTTATATGTGGCCTAGAAATTTAAAAATCGCGTATGAACACTGAAATCGGTCGAATGCGAGTGCCCTTCACTATAATCGCTGTTGACAGTTTTTGACCTTCCTTCAAACCAACTGAATATCACTCATATGGATATCTTTATTTCTTTTAGATTCTTTGGTGGAAAGGCTATCACGGGCAGTCCCAGAAAATATTTCAGAGGAGAAGTTGAAAGACGTGCTGCTGAGAAAACATCATCACCAGCACGAAAAGAAGCCAAGCTACTCGCTAGCCAACTTTAAGCGGAGTTTATCCACGACAAAATCGGAGGAGGCGTCCGCTTCAAACGGTAAGGCAATATAAATGCAACATTTTAAATTAAGAATTTTATCATGAGGTACACACTGTACCATCTTCCTAAGCAATGTTAAGCTTTTTAATACATATTACCAGGCGAAAGTTTGCAATTATATAAGATATCGCTATAAAATACCAAAATATTGATATTTACCAACACCAAATTATTGTGGCTTGTTGTGGAGTGGGACGGCTTGTAACCCATATATTTTAATACTTTAAAATTTTAGAATATTGTAATCGCATGGTCTTTGCATTATGATTTTATAACGAAAACTATGTGTCCGGAATTGCATGTACGGGCATAAGAAGAATATGAATACTGGTATATGCCTAATCTGCAATATTTAAAATTTTATTATACTTATATTAGCGAAATCGCCTATATATCTGTATCGCTTTGAATCATATAAAAATATATGTACGTGCATACTTATAATTTATATATTTGCGTGGTGCAATCGCGCTTTTCCTTTTTTCAGTAAATGATAATTTGCTTATATGTTAAATTTTGCTGGGTTGGCATTCAATATGGACAACATTTATTTTTTAGAAATATGACCAATTTCAAAACATTGAATTGTATTGATCATTCTGATGATATTCTTCTATTCTTATATATTTGCATTTATGAAGCATTTGTTTTTTTAAATTAAAATGTATTTCCTTTTGAATCAGAAGCTTAAACCTATATTTCATACCAAATGCCATCCCCCTGGAACCTGCTTTTCTTTCTTTGCTTAATATGTCGTCTGCTTTAACAGTGCTTCAGGCAACACTTTTGACTTGCCAAACGCATGCCTTTAAACTGCATTTTAACCAGGCTTTAAAAGCTTTGAGAAAAAGAATGGATTGACAACATCAACCAGTTTTACCAACGGTACGTCACCCATATTGAAAGATAATTTATCCAACCAGATGCCTCTTGAAAACGACCTTCGAAAAACAAGACCTCTCAGAAGAAACTATTCCCTAATTAACACAGGTAACATTGATGATTATGACGATTACACAGACCGCTCAATGCTTTCTCTTTTACCTACCAATGTGAGCGATATGTGACCATGAGATAATATTTCTATTTTTCTGATGAATTTGTATAGTATCATAGTGTTACATTATAAAGGAGTAGAAATGAAGTGATCGAGCTCCCCTGGTGATGCCTGCTACGTTACAAAAGCCAATAAGAATCGTAATTTCTGTCGTATCGTGTAATATGAATCCAACGCAGTAACCAGAATAATGAAGAACTAAACTGATTTCTGCAAAGATCAATTGCAGTCAACTTGAAGGTACACGTAACTTGTAAATACATTGACAACGTAAATATTTACAGAAAATGATGTATCAGATCTTTTATTATCCATATTCTAGGTGATAAGAGATTATTCAGCAGAAGTGAGAGCACCAAAACTGATGGAACTGACCCCGAAGACCCCGAGAGTTTTGGCAACGATGGTGATGAGGTATTTAAGGACAGCGATGAAATATACAAGGTAATCAACATTAGTCCGTGGGCCATAAATCGAAATCATCCCCCGTTAGCGAGTAACATTCACTTTGCTTTTATGATAGCTTAGGTCATAAACTTTTGTTTTCTGCTTATGTGCCATTAAACTGGTGGTGGTGTGAGTGCCAGAGCCGTTGCCATGGTAACTCACGGGTTTAAAATTGAAGTGTCTGAGACCCAGAAAATCTTATGGATTTCAAATGCATTAAGTAAAAGAAATTCATTTCAGACGTTTAGTATGAGAACTTTGCTGTACTTAAAAATTACCAAAGTATTCCATGGATGGCGGCAAATTAAAATGGCGGCCATTTTTTGCTGATTTTTGAGGAATTTTAATAATATTTAATATGTGATATTTATGTAAAGGGATTAGAATGTGGGAGGGCTTTTGATGTGCAAGAGTAGCAAGGAATTTGTCCTTTCTGCCTTATGCATGTGCTTGAGAGGCAACCTTTTTAGTAAGATGTAAAAACCTGACATCCAAGATGGCTGCCACAAAAACGTCTTTCACATATTGCTGTCCCGACTGCAATAATATTACATTTATCACCCCCAAATATATACAGACTTGACATTTAATATGGAATATTTTTTCCAAATCATTTTTCATCAGTTTTTTTCCTATTTTACTGACTGATAAATGAGAATAAGGATTAAAATCGTGTTCTAATAACTTTTAATTATCTCTTTGATGTCATTGTGACATCAGTTCATTAATGGAATTCGCCAGAGAAGCAAACAAAAACACATTGCCTTTTCTACTTCATACGGCAACCATTAAATGAGATATTTTAGATCTCCATATTTTCCAAATTATTGTCTGTAAAAGAGTTACACGCTCCACAAAGGACCCTCATGTCAGTGTCTAGTCACAGTAACAGTCGCTGTTACGCCTGACCTCTTCTGGCTGCTACCAGCGCTCTCAAGCGGCAAGGCATTCCTTGGGATATGTTTTTAGAGTTCAATCTGGAATAACATTCCAGGCATCGGTCGAAATCTGTCCAATTTGGCCCAGTTTTGTTGTAGGACATGTAGGCCATTCATTTGGCGAGTAATGGCCTACCCACATATTGTCTACGTGGTTCAAATATGGCGGTTTTGATGACCAAGGTAGCTGTTCATTCCCTTGGTTCTCTA